AAAGTGCTTTTAAAAGCTGAAGGTTTTTTACCTTCATGAATTCTATGCATGAAGTAAAAAAACCTTCAGTGTGCAGCTCCCCCCTCAGCCCCCTAATACTTACCTGAGCCCTATTTTGGTCCAGCACTATGCACGAGAGCAGGAGCTCTCCTGGGTCTGTCCTTCCTCATTGGTCAAGACACAACAGTGGAGTGAAGTCAAGCTGTGCTCTGTTTGGCTTATAGACCTACAGAGGTGGCTCGGGAGCGAGCATGCAGAAGTGCCCCCAGAGCAAGCAATAAGGAGGAGGAGCCAGGAGCACCAGTGGGGGACCCAAGAAGAGGAGGATTGGGGCTGCTCTGTGCAAAACCATTACACAGAGCAGGTAAGTTTAACATGTTTGTTATTTTTAAAAAACAAAAAATCTGAACCTTTATTGTCACTTTAATGATATAAGTAACTAAAGGTGTTACTTTCATCTTGGTACTAAAGTGGTGCAGTGCTACTCCCGTTGGAGCATCAGGAATACTGTCCAGGTCTTCCCCAAAAGCTTTGCCCTGCGACCAGGCACATAGGTTAATTTGCACGTTTCTTCCATGACCAGTCTAGGGGTGTTGTTTGTGTTGTTTTTATTTTTGGAGAACTTGGAAAGGGTTGAGGGAATTAAGTGGGATACTCCAAAAACAAGAACTATGAACACTTGAGGACCTAGGTATTCTTCAGGAAAAGCTATAACAAAGCCTGTGCTTGCAACAAACAGTGGTCTTCAGCTTTAGGGCAGTAGTAAAAGTAATAGTAGTAAGCTAGAGCAGAGTTCCTTCAAGTAGGTGATTAAGTGGACAAAGCTCTTCGGAACACCTGGTGTCCCATTTAGTTAGACCCGCAGCTGACTCCCTTGCACCACAGGGGTTTTAGCAGCACAAATCTCTAAGATCCTTTCAGAGGTCTGTACTCACAAGGCACAAGGACAGATGGCTTCCTTCCTCCTTGATACCAGACCAGACCTTCAGTAGATGGCCCCTCAGTCAGCTTTAGCAGAACCCAGATCTCAGCATTCAGGCTCTCAGGTCGACCACCAGAAGTTGCTTGGGTGGGCAGGCTGGAACCAGGGCCGTCTTAATGCACAGGCACTCCTGGACACTAGGTGCCTGGAGGACCCTTGCAAGTTTCTCATTGCAGCTAACTGCCAACAGTTTTCTTAACTTTGGCCAGCTCTTTTTTCCATTTACTACAGGTCAAGTCCATTATCCCTATTTCTCACTGCCTCCAGCTGTCTTTATCATTCTCTCCCTTCTCCGCATCCTCCTTTCAACCTCAGCCACTATTTCCGTCCTGCTCCCTTTCATCCTCACACAGTTCCATCCACCTCTGCCTGTCAGACTGCCTCTCTTTCAGATTTTTTTAACCCTTGCTCTCTTCTCCCAGCCAGCCGGTTTGCTGACATCTAGCAGCCCTCTTGCCAAGGCCAGCCTGAATACTATTCTTGATGACAGTTTTATGACAATACTCACTCCAATTCACTTTCACTCTCTCTGATTCCCTCCCTTCTCATGTACTTGGTCTCTGGAGCCACTTCACCAACACACAGGTGTGTGTCCCAGGATACACAAACATCAAGATGGCCTGAATCACCCACCCTGCACACCTCCAACAATGTCTTGTTACTATAAAATGGCGATCACACCTTCTCCCCTACCTGCCAGCCCATTTACTTTTATTATACTGTGGCTTTTCCGTACCAGCCAACAGTATTCCCCATGCCCATCCCTGATCATCCCTCTCCAATCCCCTTGACCCCCATCTATTTTCTTCTCCTCCCCCTTCCCACGTGCCAGCACAAATCTTCCCATCTTTGTTATCCCTATACAGACCAGGATCCCCCCAGTTTCATTCAAGTCCTTCTCTACCTAACCCCATCTCCTACCTCACCCCTCTCTTTTTCCTCTATCCTCCATGGTTCCCAGCCCCCCCCCTCAATATTTTGCAGGGGTTAAGGAAGAACCCCAAAGCAGAGCATCTTACTACTGCTTGAGTAGGCAGGATGTGTGCTGTACTTCGATCCCTGCTGATCCTCCCTTCCTATTGATCTCATGTGATCTGCACATCATCATCCATGCCCACTCAAGCAGCAGCAGTAGTAAGATGCTCTGCCTAGGGGTTCTTGCTTAGTGCCTTAGTGCCAGAAGAGAGAGGGAGAAACTGTGTGTGTGTGTATATATGGGGGGGGGGGGGGGGTAGAGGAGGAGATGTCATTCCGATTGTAAATTTTTCCCAGTGACAGCCTGCCAGAAATAGGTAGAATCTGTGACAGGAGAACCCCTGCACTGCTGTGCTTGAGGAGACCATATCTGTATTATACATTGCTGCCCCTATATTATACTCTCCTGCTCCCTGTACTGTGTTGGCTTGCCCTCCCATGTACTGTGCTTCTCCATACTGTACCCTCCTGCCCCCTGTACTGTGCCCTCCTGCCCACTGTACTGTGTCCACCCCCCCCCCCATGGTGTTCCCTCCTGCCCCCTGTACTGTACACTCCTACCCCCCCATACTGTACCCTCCTGCCCCCCATGTACTGCACCCTCTTCCCCCCATACTCTGCTCTTCTTGCCCCGTTGAACCCTGTACTCTGCCCTTCTGATGCCCTGTCCTCTAGTCTACTGACATTTTATATTGTTTATATATATTTGTGTTGAATAGTCTGATTTAGGGCATGTTTTCTTATTAATTAAAATAGATTTATTGAAAGTATTAATAAATATATGTTTTAATTCTATCAACTATTTATACTTTAATTTTTGACAGAAGGTGCGTAAATTGGTGACGGCTGGTAAGGGCCCCAGTGCATTACATTGCCCAGGGGCCCATGATGCTATTAAGATGTTCCTGGTTGGAACAATCCTATACAGAGAAAGAACCAGAACTCAGTGTGCTTACAGAATATATACAGTTACCCAGCATGCCATCAGAGCCTGCCTCTCTGGGATAGGCCAGAGCTGTATCAGTATTCATGCTTCCATCTGCATAAATCCACACCTATTATCCAGAAGCTTTTCAAGCTTTCTGGATGCAGAGGGAGCTATCAGGCTGGCACCAGCTGATCACACAGAGCAGACCTAACTAGCAGAACACAGCCACACTAATTACAGTGTACAAGTTATTTTTTTTACCTAATCATAATTACAAACAATCTCTCTACAGTATGACAACTACATTTACCTATCAAAATACAAACACACAAACTAAATCTGTCTATCTAAACCTGGAACCTATCTAGGAGGGTGCTACCTCGGCTTATAATTAATATAAAGTGAACATTTTAAACTGCAACATGTCCCTTTAATAAATTTACTAAAATTTTTATTTCCGGTACAGAAATTAATAGAAGGTTATGAATAAGTGATAAAAAAGGGAAAAAAAACAGCATACAAAAAACTAATTCTACAACCAGTTAGTATTGTTATCATACAGGATTTATATAGCGCCAACAGTTTGCTCAGCGCTTTGCAAAATAAAGGGAGACAATACAACAACAAAACAGTATACTTTAGCGCAATTGTCGTGTTTCACATGACTGTCATATTGACTGTCATATGCCTTTAAGTGTTTTGTCTCTGCTGCCTCCCTTTCCTTTGGTTTAGTTAATGCTGTATAGATATCCCACCCCTTTTACCAGTAAGGCATTGCAGCTCTAGCCTCATGGCATGGAGCAGAAACATTATGATCTTTTGACCCTATCGAATGTTCATTGTAAGATTCTCTCAGTTTATGGAATAAACTTCACAAAACCTACAATATGTCTTATCAATTGAGTCACTGACTGTGGTATCCAACTGAGGTTGAAGTTATCGCTATCTCATCACAACTGTAAGTTACAGAGATCACACTATCAATGCTTAGATTGGAGACACAGAACAGCAATTATGTATCAAGCTATTGTTATATACACTCCAAAATGGACTGCAGCTACCACTCTATGTGTTCCCACGTATATATCAAGATACAATACTGATCCCCTGATGTCATGTGGTCGGTGATGTAACAGGTAGGGCAGGGCCAATGACGTCCAGACGCACACCAAAAAGTTTGCGAGCCTCCATCTTGTGAGTGATTGAGGAATTCAATTTCTTAAGGGAAAAGGAGCCTTTTTACTGTGGGGTCTCCGATGAGCCCATTTTAATATGAGTGCAATATACTATTTTGAATAAATATTAATAGGAAACGTTTTTAAACACACTATGATGGCCTATTCTTTCTGAACTTTGGAAGAAAAAATCCTGCATGGCTTGGGAGGCTGGGGATGGATTGAGTTCCACTCGGAGTCCTGTGCAGGAGAGTGCTTGTGTCTATACCTATCCAGGTTAAAGGGAAAAAGCGCAATTTGATCAAAAATAATTGTGGGTTAAATACTGGAGGCGAGAGTATATACTGTATGTATGTCGGTGAAGGTATGTACGCTGTACTGGTGAAATAAGCACTGGTTGAATTCAAGAATTGCACAATAAATCAATGGATTGAAACATAATCGATGAAATAAGGACACTTTACACATTTATTCAAATATATTTGTCCATTTTAAGGACTCACTATATTGATCATGAACATTTTATTTACAGTATGTATTTATTAGCATATATATATACAGTATATATATTTTATGACACTGAGATATATTTTTACTGGTGGTGAAATATGACCGCGCAGCACTGCTATAGTATTGCATAAAAATAGCTATGATAAAAATAATGAAAGAGTTGAAAATTTTATGTTAGGGTTAAAAAGAAGAAAAACTTTTCTTTTGAAGTATTTTTTTCTTAGATGTAACACTGGTTTATGAAAGAAGGTTGAGAATGCAGTGCTCATTCACATATGAAGCAGGAGAAAGGATAGTGACAAAGATGGTCTACAGGGAAAAGAATTGATAGATTCAGGCCTCTACACAAGTTAACATATTTTTCGCTACATAAAACGCACCTAGGTTTTAGAGGAGAAAAACAAGAAAAAAAATATTCTGAACCAATGGACTGCAGACATAGTACAGGAGATGACCAGAGACTGCAGACACAGTACAGGAGATGACCAGAGACTGCGGACACAGTACAGGAGATGACCAGAGAGACTGCGGACGTAGTACAGGGGATGACCAGAGACTGCAGACAGTACAGGAGATGTTCAGAGACTGCAGACAGTACAGGGGATGACCAGGGACTGCCGACAGTACAGGAGATGACCAGAGACTGCGGACATAGTACAGGAGATGACCAGAGACTGTAGACAGTACAGGAGATGACCAGAGAATGCAGACAGTACAGGAGATGACCACAGACTGCAGACAGTACAGGAGATGACCAGAGACTGCAGACAGTACAGGAGATTATCAGAGACTGCAGACAGTACAGGAGATGTCCAGAGACTGCAGACAGTACAGAAGATGACCAGAGACTGCAGACTGTACAGGAGATGTCCAGAGACTGCAGACAGTACAGGGGATGACCAGAGACTGCCGACAGCACAGGAGATGACCAGAGACTGTGGACCTTTGGGGAGGGAGAGGGAGCGGGTACCTGAATTTGACAGGTACCGACTCCCACTTCCACGGAGTTGTCCTACCTTTAGTGTGGGCACCCGGCTATGACAGCCGGGTGCCCACTGCGCATGCGCGAGAAGCGCTGCGCTTTGTTTATGGACCGGCGTCTTCTGGGACACATGACAGCTGGGTGCCCACACTAAAAATGCCGGCGCGGAAGACTGTACAGTGCTGGACCAAGGAACAGGTAAGGTCCTGCTGCAGAGAAGAGCGAGTGGCCGGCCCGGTATTTTGACATGGTGTCCGGCGGCGGAAATACCGGACTGGCCGCTCCATATTCGCTCCATAAGACGCACTGGCATTCCCCCCCATTTTGGGGGGGGGGAAAGTGCGTCTTATGGAGCGAAAAAATAAGGTATTTACAGTGTGATATTTGGATTTCAATTATACCTGGAACTGCAATAAAAAGTATTTTTTGTATACTACACTACACTGTAAATCATAAGAGCACATACATTTTAAAATCACAGGCTTTGATCACACTGATGTAGAGAAAGCTCCCTACAGTTGCAAATCCACAGCTCTTTATATTTAATAAATCAGCACAAATATAGAACTTTCCTGTGTAACAATGAGTATATGTGGCATGCAGGCCACAAGAAAAAAGCATAGCAAAGAAAACAAGAACAAGAGTTTGTTGAGTGACACTGATGCTACCTGAATGCTTCCATGATAAGGTGAATTACAAGATTAACATTCTTAAAGAGGAGAAATCAGCACTGTCAAACACTGCAAGCGCAGGAGACAAAGAACAAGCAAGTCTGTAGATTGGAGAGTGCAGAACAAATGAAGAAATCAAAGATACAAGAGGCTCTTGTGAAGCGTGTAGTTGTTAAAGAGGGTTCAAAAAGCCAAGTGAATGCTCATGAGGTCAAAGTAGATGATTCATTCCTTACACATACTACAGTCATGGCCGAAATTGTTGGCACCCTTGATATTTCTCCAGGAAATCATGTATTTCTCACGAAACGTATTGCATTAACACATGTTTTGCTATACACATGTTTATTCCCTTTGTGTGTATTGGGACAAAACAAAAAAAGGGAGGAAAGAAAGCAAATTCGACATATAATGTCACACAAACTGAAAAATGGGCTGGACAAAAGTATTGGCACCCTTTCACAACTGCGGATAAATAAGTAATGTTACAAGCATGTGATGCTCCTGTAAACTCACCTGGGGCAGTTTGAAAAGGTGTGTTAGGGTTATAAAAATCACACCTGAAAAACTTTTCTTTTGAAGTATTTTTTTTTCTTAAGAAAGTAACACTGTTTACTTGAGAACCTTTGCATTGTGTCTGTGCACATACTGAAGCAGGAGAACAGAAAGAGGAGACGAGAACTGTCTGAGACCTGAAAGAACCAAAATTGTGGCACAAATATCAACAATCTCAAGGTAACAAGTCCTATCTCCAGAGAAAAAACTAGATTTGCCTTCTGTCCACAGTGCGCAACATTAGTCACAGAAGTTTGCAACCCATGGCAGACACTGTAGCTAATCTCCCAGGTCAGTAGATGACGAGATGCGGAAACAGGATGACCAGATGCAACGTACAGAATAGTCCGGATGGTGGATAAGCAGCCCCAAACATGTTCCAAAGACATTACAAGCTGTCCTGAGACTGCAGACTCAGGGAGCATCCAGTGTCAGACAGCGGAATATCACGTCTGACATTTACATGAAGGAATGACCAAGCTACAGACCCAGGAGGACCCCAGAGACTGCAGACAGTACAGAGATGTCCAAACTGCAAGACTACAGAAGATGCCAAAATGTACTTACAGAGTATGCCAAAGACTGCAGACAGTACTGGGATGAAGAGTCTTGTGGACAGAGATGACCAAGATAGAGCTTTTCGGTAGAAGCGGGTATTCATTCTACAGTTTACCGAAAATCCACGGAGAGGGTCCTACAAAGTGTGGGCACCCGGCTAACAGCAGTACCCACGGTAAAATATGGTGGAAGCGCATCATGCGCTTTGTTTTGGGGTTGTCTTCTGGACTCATGACACTGGGTGTCCACACTACTGTGTGCCGGCGGCATCATGAAATCAGAGCTTACCAAAGGAACAGGTAAGGTCCTGCTGCAGAGAAGAGCTGAGTGGCCGAAAGCCCGGTTTTTGACATGGTGTCGGCGGCGGAAGCATACCGACAATGACCCCATATTACGCTCCAAAGACGCACTGGCATTTCCCCCCCATGGGGGGGGGGAAGCGCTGCGAGAGTTATGAAGTGGCGACAATACGAGCCCAGTGTGATATTTGGAAATCAATTGATACAACTGCAATAAAAAAAAATTTTTTGTAAAAGGTACTACACTACACTTCCAATCATAAGAGACCTGGAGCATTTTGCAAATCACAGGCTTTGATCACACTGATGTAGAGAAAGCTCCCTACAGTTGCAAATCACAAGCTCTTTGATGGTTAATAAAAGCACAAATATAGAAGTTTCCTGTGTTTAACAATGAGTATATGTGGCATGCAGGCCACAAATAAAAAGCATAGCAAAGAAAACAAGAACAAGAGTTTGTTGAGTGACACTGATGCTACCTGAATGCTTCCATGATAAGGTGAATTACAAGATTAACATTCTTAAAGAGGAGAAATCAGCACTGTCAAACACTGCAAGCGCAGGAGACAAAGAACAAGCAAGTCTGTAGATTGGAGAGTGCAGAACAAATGAAGAAATCAAAGATACAAGAGGCTCTTGTGAAGCGTGTAGTTGTTAAAGAGGGTTCAAAAAGCCAAGTGAATGCTCATGAGGTCAAGTAGATGATTCATGTCCTTACACATACTATATGAACATAACTGAAGTATGTCTGGCATCAAATCTACTATGGAAGAGAATTAGCTTGGAGAAACAAGAATAGTATTTTTTACACAGGCTTTAAAAAAATCCCTTCTGAATTTAACGGAAAACTAAATAAAATTAATATAGCATATAGAATTACTTTACAAGACATTTTTAATTCAATAGTATGTGTAATGTGATTTTGTAATGTAATGAGATTTTCTAAACATGTAAAAAAAATCCACTGCAATATGGCAGCCTGATGGCATTCTGTACACCATTTACAGAATTCTCTAGAAATATCACTTTCTGCTTCTTTGACTGACTCACTGATTTTCTCAGATGTTTCCACCAAGATACAAGTAAAATTATAGGCATCCTTTGCAAATGGATTATCATTTTTGGTGAGAGTCTTCCAAGGGTTGTCTACTAAAGAGCATTGCAGCTTCCTCATTAGAACACTAAGATTTGCTCAGGTAATTACAATGAACGCAGAGCCTGTCAATTAGGAATCAGTCTGGAAAGGCATGGTGAGACAAACAGCTATTTCTTATGAACAGAAGAAGGTAGGAATTTGCAACAATTTTTTTTAATAAAAATCCTGCATTGTACATGAATTTTTTTTCTCAGCAACGCTCATATACACTTTAAGCTCTCAATAACACTTGAGTGTAGAATGTACGTAATTTTCATTTTGTTTTCATGCATGGTTTAGAACCCTTTTTCAGGGTGAAATGCCATACAGGAGATTCTGTGGGTCAAGATTTCATGTTTTCTCAGCAACATTGATATACACTTTAAGCCCTCAATAACACTTGAGCGTAGAATGTAGGTAATTTTCATTTTGTTTTCATGCATGGTTTAGAACCCTTTTTCAGGGTGAAATGCCATACAGGTGCTTCTGTGGGTCAAGATTTCATGTTTTCTCAGCAACGTTGATATACACTTTAAGCCCTCAATAACACTTGAGTGTAGAATGTGCGTAATTTTCATTTTGTTTTCATGCATGGTTTAGAACCCTTTTTTAGGGTGAAATTTCATACAGGAGCTTCTGTGGGGCAAGATTTCATGTTTTTGGCCCCATAGATGTTTATTATGGGTACTCCTGAAAAACCCATGTAACATACCAGTTTGCTAATTTCTCCATTCTCAATGAAGTCAGTGGGGCCAAAAAAAAGTAGCTCACGCACCCTTTTGAATTTCCGGTGTTTGAACGCTTACATTTGAAATGTGTGGTTTTACAATTTAAAAAAACTAGATTTTGGTTGGCAAATTTATAATCTGTTCAGCTCTGAAATTTGAGTACTGCACAGATGATAAATGTGCAAATTTTATTTTGTTCTGTGTAGAGCTGCACAGGAATTTATATATTATATCATGAGATTTTAGTTGTAGAGCATTTTGGAGTTTTGAGGTGTGAGCTACAAATTAATGGTTCAATTGTATGCCCATTGTATTGCATAATTTAACAAAGTAAGGTAAACATAGATGAAAGATGCCTGTTAGACAAACTAGGCTAATTACTGGTCTAGAAAGTAATTAGAAAAGGCAATGGGAAGGCTTAAAGAAGATCTTCAGTAGGTTTGCAAAAAGTTAAAAGTCAGCAGCTACAAATACTTACCTGTCCAGGGATATAGCTCCATCCTCAACTGGGTTGGTTATTTGTTGGTCTTCTGGTCACCAGGGCCAACATGTTTACTAAGAGAATCCGACTGTGACTCCTTGGGGCTTTACAGCCGGCTTCCCTCTGCACATGCATGAGCTGCACCGTGTTGTATGCATGGTCCCGAAGCCTCCTATGACCTGTGACATGCCTCAAGAGGTTGTGGGCATGGAAGGGGGGAGAACTTTCAGTGGAATCGCCTAGATCAAAACTAGGTACCCCAAAAAAGTATAATGTGCCAAAAATGTTAGAGAAGCTTTAGGGTGAAATTTCACATTAAACAGATTACCCAAAAGATTGTAAGTTAGATTTAATCTGCTGTGTTGCAAATTCAATTTTTCTACTGTTCATAGTTTATTCTTTTTGTTTTTTTCTGGATCTCATGTCTATGGGATTTTGCTGACAGATACTCCTAGCAAAACTCTCTGGGGGAACATAGAGTCATAGAGATGTCAGGTAAAAGGGTCACTGATGCTTTACATTTTATAAGGCAATGCTAAAGGTGTGTGGCAGCAGTTCCCCTATCCACCTACCTATCATGCATATTCTTGATATTTTTTGACATATCCTTGACACATGATCCAATCAGCGTATGGCACCCATCACAACATGTTGTCTTTCAGCTGAGAAGCCTCTGGTCTCACCCACCTTTCTTTACCAACACATTAACATTAGTAGGTTCTCCTAAACTTACAATGTCTTGAGCTGCAGATTTACTGCACAACCACCTGTATAAAATTACCACTAGTGGGTTATTTCAGAGTAAACAGTGGACACGAGTCAGAATTCTTACATACTGAGACAACTGGTTAGGGTAGTTGCTAGCTTCTCCACTTTTTCATTTTTAAGTTTCATAAAGAAGAAACAAAATTCTTTGAATAGTGTTGTGCTTGTATTTAAATATCTCCGATATCTATATGTCATTATCAGCTACCGTAAGCATGAAGACTTTGTATTGAAAACACTAAGAGCTCATGTATTTTCCTTGTCAGCACAGTGTCTGTGTATTTGTGCCATGTGCACATACTTGACCTCCGACTTCACTTCCCACCTTCTATGGCCCACAGATAACCCATGACAAGTCTCTCAGTCATCTGCAGAATGTGACAACATTCGGACCATGTCTTTTATCAGGGGAGCACCTATTTAAAAAAGTCTCAGACTCTTCAAGAAGAGCCAGGCAGTGGGACTACACCAATCAGTAACACGTCACCTGCTTCTGAAAGCACTTCATGTGGGATACCTTCTATGGAAAGCAATAGACAGACTTAAAATAAATGTCATAGTGATACTTTTTTTATCATAAAACACTAGGGGGTTATTTACTGAAACTGCATAGTGCAAAATTTGGTGCAGCTCTGTATAGAAACCAATCAGCTTCCAGGTTTTTTTTTTTTTTTTTTTTTGGTGTCAAAGCTTAATTGAAAAAGCTGTTACAAGCTGGCTACCAAGCACAGCTGCACCAGATTCTGAGTGCACCCATTTTAGTAAATCTCCCCCAAAATGTCCTTTAACTGTTTCTCCAATGCCCTATAGCAGATATACTGCTACAGGGTGGCAGGGGTGCGCAAAATCACGTATATATATGTGATTTTGCACCTCCAGGTGGGGAGCGCACGTGAGCCGCATGCACGCCCTACCCGTGCCGCCATTCGTGACCTCGGCTGTTAATCACCGGGTCCAATGCAGGGAGACAAAAACGGTCACATCACTTATTGAAGCAGCACATATTGCAAACATTACAAATAGGCACACAGTTAGCCTTTTGATTGCCCCAGATGTTAACCCCTTTCTGCCCCGTGTTTTTAGTACAGTGTCAGTGCATTTTATTAGCACTGATCACTGTATTAGTGTCACTGGTGCTGTCAGTATCTTAGCCAGTGTCAGAATGCTTGCCGCTTTTTCACAGTCCTGCTACAAGTTGTTGATCACTGCCATTACTAGTTTGAAAAAAAATTCCAGTATATATTGTCAATTGTAGACGCTATAACATTTATGCAAACCAATTAATATACACTTACTGGGATTTCTTTACCAAAGACACACGTCGAAATGCATCAGCATTCTATAGGGTCTTCCTTCAATTGGGACTCGCACATGACTCCGGTCTGATTATCCAGTATTGGAGAACACATGCTTATGAAATTGTGACTTTTGTGAGTACACATCTGTTTTATCTTTCAATAAAATTAGTTTTTTCTTTATTGCAGTATTGTCCTAGGCTTCCCCAGCCTTTCATAAAAGCTGCACAGCTTTTGATGAATTGGTGGATATGTTTTCGTGGAGGATGGTCACTCCCTTAATTCCTGATCTGGGTCTCTGAGGTGACGTTTTGTGTTCTGGAAATATCA